AGGAGACCAAGCTGCTATCAGGCCATAACAGCTGTTCAGCACTCAGCACCGTGGCTGAGTGCGATCCCCAAGGATTTCAGGGAGTTCAAAATCCATCGCTTGTTCCACCCAGAATTCTCACACATGACAGCAAGCTGATTTTGTCTGAACGATGCTTTATCCAACAATTAAGAGGCACATTCCTTCACTCACCTGGGATTTCCAGCAGTAAGAAGTACAACCCAGCCGCGTGCAGCGCGTAAACCCTCTGCTGTGCGTCCGCTCTTTTATGCTGGCCCGCTTGGACAAAGTGATGCAACACGGCCACGAGAGCATTATGGGAGAAGTTGTTTTCGGCAAACAAGGTCCAGATATTCTGAGGCAAAATACACGAGTGGGAGTGAGAAATCCTGTAATAACACAGCTCTCTGCCAGTAGCTACTATTCACATTTTAACAGTTGCCACTGCAACCGACCACCTATACATGTTATATATTTCTTAAATACGTTTCAATGATTATGTTATAACATATAACACTATATATAATTGATTTTATATTAGATTAAATTGTAAATATACGTTTCACACTTGGGAATAGCTTCCCTCCGCAGCATTCTAGCACATACACGTTAATAGTTTAGCGCAGACTTAGCATGTTTTGTAAATATCAAGGCAGGACAGGCTGGAATGACAGGAAAGCGCAGGACCTGGACCTTGGATAGGCAGAAAGCCAGCCCGTGCAACGGGACTTACCGCTCTGTTCTCCCGGTCCTCCGCAGCAAAGGGCGACAGAGACTGGTAAAGCCATGTGAAAGCATCGAGCCCATCTTCCGTGATGGCCTCTGCTATCCCGGGATCCAGAGGCTCGGTCTCGGTGAAGTCCAGATCCCAGACCGCGCTCGCCCAGACTGCGGGGAAGAGAGCTCATAAGCATCGGACGCGAAGTTCCTCCCACGCCCGCGTTTCGCTCCAAATCGTGCTCGGAAACAAACCGGGAACAAACCGAGCGGGGCAGGAACACCCGCAGG